TCATCTGTCCTGGATTCCCTGTGTTTCCAGTTCCTATCTGTACCAGTGTGCATCCTCTGGTCTAGCCGGATTTGTAAGGTAGAATTGGGATCACGATAGTGGTGTGGAGGAAGCATTAAAGAACTAGAGGAAAGTTTTGTTTCATCGTTGCTACACGCAGCAGTTTCTTATTTTGAGTTGTCCCCCGTCAGCAAGGAAGATTCTGAAAACTTGATTCTGTCTACATCATTCAGGCTGACTCTACTTTGATGATACAGCTCTTCCCCAGTTGTGTTTTGAGTTCCTTCCAAGTTGAGAGGCTCATCGTGCCAGCACTATATTTTCCAGTATTCTGCTGTTATTCATAAAGTTTTCAATGGATAGTCCCTCAGAAATGGACAGCCTATTCCTTCTTCTTACTCTGTTCTCAGTCTAGAAGCTCTGCTGAAACCTATTCACCATGGGTGACTACTGGTATTTGAAATGCTAGTGTCATAGTTTCCAGCATCACAACACTCAAGCCACCACAGAATGACTAACAGATGTGTATTGGTATATGTGCCATAGCAATTACCAAAAGGTATTTTCTCTGTACATCTTAGTGAAATCATTTACATTTGTCAAGCTGTGCACACTTTTCACTTATTCATCCCAACCTTTCCCTTCATCAGATAGAACAGTTTTCTATTTAGAGAGAGAATTTTCCTCTTCACTTTCCTTCCCCCACCCATCTGTTAGTCACTAATGAATATGTTATAGATGACGCCTAGTTGGGTTTGACTCAAGAGTGCTCCTATGTACAATAGAATAAAACACTGCCCAGTTTTGTACACTATTATCACAATTGTTATGTTGGAGCCCATTAGTGCAGCCAATCCATCTCATTAAGGGTCTCCTTTTGTGTTAATGTCCTTTTGTCTTTCCTCTCATATCAAGCTTGATATGTTTTTCCAGGGACTGGAAGTAATGTGTCCTAAGTGTATGAGACAAAGTCTTACCATATTTATAACAGATTTGTTTGTTCTTCTGGTAGTCAACTTTTCAGTTTTCTCTGTCAACACCATACAAAGACATACAAAGACTTCTCCAGTCTTGCTTTCACATGCGTATGAGGCAGTGGAAAATAGAGTGGCATGGGTTGAGTGCACCTGAATCCTCAAAATGACATCTTTATTCTTTAACACTTTAAAGAGATCTTAAAGATTGGTCCAATATAATACATTGTGTCAATTGTGATTGAAGTAAAATGAAATTCTTGAC